AGAAAAAGTGCAAAGTGAATATTTTAAAATACTCTTATTTATGTGTTTATATTTCTCTTTTCATACATTCAAAATTAAATTGAAATGAAATATTTTTTAAACTAAACATTTTCAAGTACAAATATTTTCTGTCCACAGGACAGGAAAAAGTAATTAATTCCATAAAGAGTACAAGCTTTTATGACAAATTTCAAATCTTCACTTTGAGTTAATCTGATAAATAATATATCTATGAAAAATTAGGAGTAAGTCGTTTTAACCACTTTGGTTAATCTCTGTTGATAAAAGGTATTTCAAATGAAAATTAAATAGCATTAAGTATATTTAATGTAATCAATTGTGTAATGTAAAATTTTATATATTTTCTTTTTATAAAAAAATTTATTATTTATTTTTTATAAAATATTATGTTACAAGAAAAATGCAAGTTGATGTAGTAAATATTGTTATTTATGTTTTTATGTTATATAAAAGTTTTTTATCAATAATATTGCTCAACTTATTTTAATTGTTGTAAAATATTTATAGGATATTTATAGGACTGGAAACGTTGGTTACTGGTTATTATTATTAGTTAGTATTAATGTCGACTGGTGCAAAACAAATTTTTTAAAATATCCTTTCTCCATACAACAAGTTAGCTCTGTAAATAAAAGATAAAAAAGAATTTTATTAGGCAAAATTAAATAGATTCGAATTATGCATTTTAATAATTTTAGTGAGCGTTTTAATGATTTTTAAGTCTCTTTTATTCTTTCTAATAAAACTATAAACTATTTTATAGAATAATCGATGCGTTTTTTGGATTTTATATACAAAAATATTAGAAGAATTAGAATACTTGAAAATGTTTAGTTTAAAAAATATTTCAATTTTAATTTCATTTCAATTTAATTTTGGGTGTATTGAAAAATGAAAGAAATATAAACATAAGAATATTTTAAGGTATTTACTTTGCACCATTTTTGTCTTTTAAACAATAAGTTTTACAAAATCAAAATCGAATTACTTTTTAAATTAATCAATTTTTGATCCACGTGCCTTAATATTTTCTTGTGCTTTAAAAAAAATAAAACTGATTCAAAAATATTCAAAACGCCATCATTTAGAATAGACGCATACATACATTAGATTATGTATCATTCTTTTATATTTTCCTCGTGAAACTTTTTCTCATCTTCTCCCTGTTCCAGTTATTTTTTTAAATAACACTGAATATTTTTCATTTCACATTCTTAAACTATATGAAAAAAAAAGTTGATTCAGAATTATACACTATACATTAATGCAAGATGATTTATTTATTTATGAAAAAATATTAGATTTAGGTATTCTTAGAAATATTTTGATTCCTATGAATATTTTAATTTTAATACTTTCTATTTAAAATATTTTTAAAAACAGTTCAAACATTGTGACGTCCAATTACATATAATACTTTGCACTGTTTAAATTAGTGTGTCGGATTATTCTTAAATTCTCCATGGCAGAATAAGTCAGTTGAGAGAAACAACGATACGAAAGAGCAACTAGTGTACACGTTCGTTAATTATTCTTCCCATTAACAACACACCTTGTTTAAGCTTTTTCCACGAGAAAATTCGCGATTACTTGCACTCCCTTTAATTGATCACCATGCGCGCAAAATGAATTCAGAAACAGCGCTGAATGTTTAGAAATATTGAGAACATTCTCTTTTTATTCTATTTCAAGTAAAAATTAAAATCTTTTATTATACTTGTAAAATTTAACAGTTTCACTTTGATTCTTTGTCAAGTTTTTTAATCCCAATTCCAGTTCTTTTACTTTCAATCTGACTTAATTTTAAATCTTGACAGAAATTGAAAAATTAGAAGATTAAATCTAACAAATAATTCAAATGGAATTAAAATTACTGTCTGTCCAATTCAAAAATTTATCTAGTAAATTTATTGCGCAACGAAAAATTACACAAATTAACTCGTAGTCTCTTCTGGACTGTTAGAATAGATATCACTCGTTTTTTGTAATATTTAGCCATTCTTAAGTAATATTTTGTTGGTAAACAGTTGTAGCTCGTGAGGTATATATATATATATATATATATACACCTCACGCATAGACGAGTAGCACTCGAGACAAAGGTCTCTTTTATTCCAGAGTTCACGGACGGCTGAATAGCTAATAAAGTAGTTCAGCAGGACTATGAAGAACCATTGTTGAAATTGCCCGGCTGCTGCTGGATTAACAGATTCCTCCTTTTTCTCTTCTTTCTATTCCTAGCAAGAAAATCAGAGGGGAAATGTGAAATCACGCGTGTGCACGTGGCATAGATTTCTGATAATATACAGAGTGTTTTCTTATATGGGTGACATATAAAAATGAATCGAGAAGAAAGAATAAAATTCATTTATTAAAAAAAAACTTTATTTGTTTTCGAGAAAATCAAAAGTTTGAAAATTTATCAAGCGTACATGAATTTTATTGATTTCACTGGACTGGCGCGAATAATTCAAGAGGATATATTCCACGCGCAAAAATATATAAAATATCTAGAATAAAATTTTTTGTTTATTTACTTGTTGTTTTAAGAAAATTTGTCGAACATTTTTCTCGAACAGGAAAATTTTATTCTACACTTTTTACCTACTTTTGCACATGGAATAATCTCCTCTTAATTATTCTTTTCTGTCACGTGTAGAATTAACTAAATTCAAGTATACTCCGTAAATTTTCAAACTCGATTTCCTCGAAATACGAAGGCTTTAATGAAAAAATTTTACTCTTCCTTTTCGATTCATTTTTACATATAGAATCACCTATTGCTTCACTTCCCACGGACAACCATGTCATTATTAATTAAAATTAAAAGACTAACAGATATGATGATTACCATAAATTGATTGAGAATAAAAATTTCGTTATCTACTTATGATACATTAAATAGAAACTGAATGTGAACTTCGTCGCTTCCTCAAACACGTGAATGAGTACCACTTTAGACAAAGATCATCGTTGTTCAGAGAACCTCCAACAACTTATAGTTTCTTAATATATATTTTTTCATATCGTACAATGATTTTACATTTATATCAACACACGGAAATATTATATGTATATTAGTATTTAGTATTATATAATATATATACATATATACTATACTAAACTATAACTATAATATTATAATACTATAATAAACTATAATATATATATATATATATATATACATAAATAAATACTATACTAAACTATAATACTACTATACTAAAGACTATACTAAACTATAATACTACTACACTAAAGACTATATTAAACTATAATACTACTATACTAAAGACTATACTAAACTATAATACTATTATACTAAATACTATATAAATACTGTTTGAGAAACTTTAAATTCAATTTTAACTTTATAGAATACGCCAGAAAAATTTTCCCTAACATAAGTTATGTTAATTTACTATTTCTTCATATGGTGCAATGATTTTGCATTTAGATAAATTCACGAACATATTTCATCATATTATACTACTTCTGTAACTTTAAATTCAACTTCAACATTTGAAGATCTAGCGTAATAGAAATGTTGTATTATACAACAGGAAATGTTGTATTACATTTTTTAACTTGTAGGTTCGAAATGTGGTAGATGTCCGAATGTTATGACTCCTGCTCAGAAAATTAAACCACTTTATTTCATACGAGAGAAATATTCATATTAGGGGATAGTTGTTTAAAAAAGATAAGGATAAATAAAAGATATTGCTATATTTTTATTAAAAAGATTTCTATTCTATAGAATGTCTTCAATTTAAATGTGTAAGAAGTATAATAATTTCTTTTAAATTCTATTCTTATCTTTTTTAAAAATCTTCCATTAATTGTAAATGTTTTAATAATCGAAGTTTTACTCAAATATCTTTAATTTCTCAAAGACGTTTTGGAATCTTCTAAATGTGACAAATACATAGACACAATGTATATTAATATTAATATTCTGATATTTAAATATTTGAATACTGAATATTGAAACTGTTATAATTTTGTAAAAAGAAATCGTATAGTAAAATGTGTTGTTTATTTTATTCTAAAATGTTTTTATATCATCTAGCGGATGAAGATACTTTTCTTATTAAAAATGCTATAAATTGTCATAATATGTAAATGCATGGAAAATAGTATGGATTTGAAACTACTAAAATGATTAATTTATAATTTCCTATGGAAATTTTATATACTTGTCGCAATGTATTGTTTAAAAATTCAAATGATTTCTAGCAAAATATACAAATAGAAACTTGTGTTCTTTATTGTATTATAAATTTCTTTCTTTCATTTTATTTTCTCTGCTACAAATTTTATTAGTCATTCCGATGTATGGAAATGGATGGAATAATTTCAAAAAATTTGTCACTTATACTTAATTTTGAGATATAGAAGTTGAAAATATTCGCTTAGAATATGTTTTATTTTTAACAATTTTGTAAGTAATAACGATGACTGAAACCTCTTGGAGTTACAGTCAGAAGAGTGTCCTCGATATGCGTAGATCAATATCATCGGAGTTGTCTCGACTAAAATCAACGTTTATCTAAAAATTTATCAGAAGGATGTATGTATGAAATATGTATACATTATTTGTTCTAAGAAAGATAGAATATCTAAAATGTCAAAAAAGAGACTATCATTGCAAATTTTGCATACAAATCACGCAGACGATAAAATTTTGTTTCAACCTTCAGTTTTATTGTTATGTTAATAAATCATTTTTGCGAAAAACTACATTGTGAAAATTTGAATGTTTACTTATTTTTGTTAATCAGTCATTTGTCATCGTATATGACGTACTATTAAAAATCTTATAAACAATATTTTACACTCATTTTTATGTAAATACAATTCATAACTGTCATATTTCCCATGTTCTTGCAAAATTTATTAATATTGGAGCTTTTATATGAAAATTCCAGAGAAAAGCAATGCATTTCTTTTTGTAATATAAATTTTATTTTCTTGCAAAGTTTATTAATATTGGAGCTTTTATATGAAAATTCCAGAGAAAAGCAATGCATTTCTTTTTGTAATGTAAAAACAACATCTAACTACTATAATAAAGTGCTAGTACAGAAAAATTTTTCAAATTGTACATATTATTACAGAATTTGACAGATTTGTATTTGTAAATAGGTACGCGAAAGAAAAGAATCTGGAAAAATTTGTTGGTGTAATGTAAAGCGGGCCGAGCGCGTTCGAACGCGAGGATGAGTGGCACGCGAAACAAAGGATTCTTTCTGCTCGAAAAGAGTTCACGGACAACTGAATGATGAACAATATAGCGCAGGAGGACCAAGAAAAATGATAAAGGGCAAAATACCCTATATCTCGTGTTCCTCTGTGTCTCTCTGTTTCCAAAAGAGGAGAGAGGAGTTTGCTGAAGAGCACCTAGTCAGTCTGCTATCGAGCAATTCTCGTTGCTATGGGGATAATCTCGAAAGGCCTCTTCGAAGTACGCAAAATCCGACCTTTCCCTCGGCGATTTTCACTGAAATGCCGTCTATTCTTCTCAGACCGCGTACAGACAGCTGATGCTTTTTTCGTAATAGGAAAAAATAGTTTCACTTTTCACTTTTTAACGGGATTTTCATTCTATAACATAATATTTACGAAATTATCATACACAAAATCCATACACAATCAATACTATAAAGTTCTAGATCTACCTGCGACATTTTAATTTTTAAAACAAGTTCGTGAATATTCGGAATTGTGATAAGATAGAATCATGTGCACAAAATCATGTACACATAGGACTATGATATTTTATTTTATGAAACTAAAAGTTATATAACTGAAACTTAATAATTCAGTTATATAATTATAACTTAAGTTATATAACTGAAAAATTCAAACTGATTGAAATTAATCTTTCTATCTAAAAATATTTGAATACGAATACAGTATATATAATTTAAAAATATTATAGTTTACATAAATGTGTAAGAAAATGACAAAATAACAAAAATACAAAAATTATTTATTTAATGTTCCGAATTTAAATTAGACTAAGAAAAAAAAAGAGATTTTTTTCTTTAAAGATTTTTTCGTTTCTGCTCAATTTTGGAGAAAATCGCGAAAAAAGAAGCAAAATGGTTTTATATGCTTATTTGTTTACACTTATTCATGTTAACATTTATCATTCATATTATCATCTAATATTATTATTATATTAATTAATATGAATTAATATTATATATTATCTTATAATATTATTACTATCATCTATTTAATAAAGATACTGTTAAAATACTAGCGACTTGCAGCAATGTTTGATGCTCTGTAGCTACGATTTGATGTCTCAGTTACTTTCTTAATTTGATTAATCTAAATAAACTTAATGAATGAGAAAATTAAAACTTTTTTGTTTTATTATTATTTGTTTGTATATATGATCTTTATTTTTGTAAAATAGAGCAAAAAGGTCCTCTAAACGTTTTTCTTTAATAAAAAAAAACAAAATAATAGGTAATTTTGTCATAATTCGGATAGTAATTTTAGTTTTGAAAATTAATTAGTTTTACTTGGTATTCATACAAAATTTGGATTGTAGAAATAAAAGAATTTATATATAATAAAAAAATTTGTATTTTATATTTTTGTTATAATTTTTTAATAAAACATTTATGGACTTTTTTCTACGTAATAATTTAATCTTAATCATGAAAAAACGAATGAATTATTGTCCTTGATCATAAATATCTAAAAATAAATTAATAAATTTCTTCATCCTAAACCATCCTTTGTCTAAACGATTCAACAAATAATCATACATACATATCGCTAAATACATTTCGTGGTGTACTCGAAAACTACACTCGATGTATTCGAGTGGCAATATTTAAATATTAAAATATGAGACATCCTATATAATATTCTAAGGTTCTGGTCTAAACTAAGAACATTAATATTGATTATTCAAATTCTTCTAATCTGCAGCCAATATAATTATGTAATCTACCATATTGATAAAAAGTGCATTTGATCCGTTTTCTTATGAAAGATTCATGTCCAAAAAATATGTTCCAAAATACAACCAAAAAGAAAATAATTTTACATGAAAAAATTCTATTCTAAAAGAAAGAATGAAGAAGAAAGAATTGTTTCATTGAAAATGACATTTTCAAGAAAATCGAGTAAAATTGAGAATCTGTTAAGTTGTTTTGCTCAACTTGGCGAATTGAAGAGGTGTGAATAATGTGAGCGAAGCGATTATTCTAACTACGAAAGTAAGTTAAAACTGTAAAATAAAATGTTTCCATCTAAGGTTTCGTCTTGAAAAAAAAGAAAAAAATAGAGTTTAAACATATCTGGTTAAGAATTGGCTTGATACATGTGTACTTGATGTTATTTTTGCACATTAAATAATTGCTATTGATTATAATTATTCATTCTTATGTAGTTCGAAATCAGTCAAATTCTTGAAGACTTGACAAATTTCTAAACTTAATTTTCAATAACAAATGAAGTTTTAAAAAGAAAACACAGAAATATATCAATTTTTAACTTGGCTTTTACGTAACAATCATAATTTTTTAAATATAATCAACAATTTAGTAAATTTTTTTAATCATTATTTTATCATTATCTGAACAAGTTCATATTCCGAAATTTACGCTTATTTTTTATAATTTTCCCACCATATCCAAGATATATGTATAATTATGCATTTTAAATTTCTTATAACATGTAGCATTGACTAATTTTTACTATTTTTTTCTACTATATTTTTCACATAAAATTCATTTTGTATGATTTTGTACAGGTTTTTGTTTTCATTATTTTTTAGAAAAGACCCTCTATTCAAATTCCTCCTTTTCTCTTTCGAGTGCAACAAATTGTTATCGCGAGCACACGCAAGTATCGTCACTTGCTAGAAATTGAAGGAAAGATCATTTATAACGATATCTAACTAACCAACCCTCGCCAACTCTGCTTTACAAGTGGAATCAATGGCAGACAGGTAGCACTTGACTTGCTGTAGCCCTCACCTTTCCAAGTTCTCTTTGTAACTCTTTCACTCAAGATGACAAGTCTGCAGACAGCCTGTCAGTCAAGGTCGAAATTCTCATTTATCCAAGTAGTTCCAAATCTTATATCGATATTGCGAATTTTTCATATCATTTCCTGTTTTGTTACATAGATACATTGTCTCACAAAACGAATATGAGATTTTTAATTTAAAAAATTGTTGATTTTAAATTCTATATATTCTCGTTTATATCGTACTAGAAAATATATTTTATGAATAATTTATTAAATATCTCACTGATAATAAAAAATGATCATACATCTGCGCATATAATAAAGCATGATTTTTTAATGTTAATTTATAAATATTTATGATAATTACTTCTATGTTTTCATCTAATATTTCAAACCAAAGTTCTATGTTTTCATCTAATCTAATAATCTAAAGCTAAATATATTCATATTGTCCAAAATTTAAATTCCAAGAAAAATTAATTCCACTACAAATACAAGTGATTCAGAATATATGAGAACAGCATTAAATATTAAAATAAGGGAAAAGTTTATATAAATATACAGTATGTACTCAATATAACTTTATTTTTGAATATGCACTTTCCTGCCACATTTGCCATATTCTAAATATGACAGATCTGGCTTTACTTAAATGAGCCACACTATTATCTAGTATTGTATTTATAAAAATATAAAGTATGTTCAATTCATCTTAATATCTCTTGATGTGGTGAGAAAAAATATTTAATCGTACTTTGAAAAACCCATAGTGATTTTAGTTTCGCTATGAAAACAGATTGTTCTCGAATTTTTATTATCGCTATTATGTTGCACACTCGATACTGAGCAATTTTTATTCAAAACCTTTTTCTTGTCAAATGAGTTAACGTCGAAACTGTACGTCGAACACCCTGTACATCGCGTACAGATTCTGGTATATTTCTTTTTATATAATACTTACTTACAACAAATCTATCGTTATGTTGTTGTCATTATACTAACAATGGTCATTTAACTTTTTGCTAATTTTTCGGTGATATCACTCGCATTGAACGGTTTAATTAATAGAGATGACTATTTATAATTAATTATCATTAAAATATATTACAGAAAAAGGTGGACAAAAGTATTCGATGAAAAAAAGTATTGATAAATTTTAAATCGTTTAAACTTTATAAAATTGGACAACACTCCAGTTAGCTTCATTTTAAAACGTGAAAGTTTCTACTTTACCAATCTGAAATTCTCTTTCCTAAATATGATATTTTTACATCACGCAATAGGTGGAAAAACAAAGATATTTTTATTGTTGAAAACTGTAAAAATTTAAACGCCTTCAAAATCGTTGAAAAGATTTTTTTCATAACTAGATCTATTATAATCTTGAAGATTCTTTCTAGATAAATTCCTAAACTTCTAAAACTTCTTTTTACATAATTTCCTTAAATTTACTATATAATCTATTTTGCTATTTTATTGAACATCAGACGAAACTTCAAGAAATCCTAACATTTTTCTATTTAATCCTAATGTTCAAAGTAATAATGTTCAATAAAATGTTAAATACGATTTTAAGAGATCATTTTAAAGAGAAATTTCAAGATTATCGTAGGTTTAATCATGAAAAAAATTGTTTAACTTTGTCAGAGTTTGAATTTTTACAATTTTTTGAGAAGTAAACTTACGTTTCCACTTGCTACATGGTGTAAAATCTTCAAAGAAAGCTAACGCAGAGTCAAAGTCTTAGCATTTTAAGATTTAAAAAACTGGATTGTTGGTTTGTTGACCATTTCTTATGAAGGTAAATAGACCATTTTTTTATCTAGTGTACGAATATCTTTGTCTGTATATATATATATATATATATATATATATATATTCGTGGAAGAACTTAACAATAAACACTTTTCAACAACAATAATATATATGTTATGATGATATATGAGCACCACACTATATTTTTAATAGGAATCAACGACATCATCATTAACCTCCAATAAAAACCCAGCTATTTGCGGATGACATAACAATCACATGTAGCGGGAAAAATATAAGCTCCATTAACGAACATTTACAAACAGCCATCAAAACCCTTCAGGACTGGTAAAAAAGAACTGGACTTAAAATTTTCTCCCAAAAAAACCCAAGGCATCCTACTCACTAGGAAAACCGAATTCTATCCCCCACCTAAACTATATCTGAGTAATCTTGAAATAAAGTTCACTGACACCATAAAAATATTAGGCCTTATTTTCGACAAAAAATTATCTTGGGCGCCTAACCCAAACCTTAAAAGAGTCCTGTATAAAAAGACTTAACATTATAAAAACCCTTTCCAATAATAACTAGGAAGCGAATAAAGACACACTTCTAGAAACATACAGAGCGTTAATTAGATCAAAACTAGATTACGGCTCTACCGTTTATAACTCAGCCAAAAGCTCCACCAAAAAAATAATAGATCCAATCTCTCACTCAGCTCTTAGACTAGCCACAGGTGCGCACCGAACATGCTCCATAAACAGCCTACTATTCGAAGCTAAAGAAATGGCACTTGAATCCAGAAGGAAGTTTCTAACTATTAAATACGCCCTAAAAGTCTTATCCACTCCAAATAATCCTTCCTACAACAACATTTTCTCCAATAGATACAAAGCTTTCTACATCAATAATCCTAAAATTCCCTCCCCTTTCCATATCAGACTTACCAAAATCCTTCAATCCGCCACTTTCAAAATCCACCCCACCATTGAACATAAACCACCACAAATCTCTCCATGGACAATAAAAGCATTCCAAACACCAGTCTTGCCGAACTCCCCAAAAAAATCCTCAGTCCAACTGACCACAGGACTCGATTTCTAGAACTAAATAACAACTACTCCCAACACAGCAAGATTTACACTGATGGATAAAACACGAATACTGGAGCTGGATACGCCATTATCACAGAAAAAGCCAAAAAAACACAAAATTTCCCTTTATCCATCTTCACAGCCGAAACTTATGCCATCCTGGAAGCCATTAAATATGCACACTCAAATAACGAAGCCCAGATCGTCATATATACCAACTCCATGAGCGTTAAAAAACCCCTAACGAAATTATACGATCAAGAAAACCAACTAATATCCACCATCCAAGAACTAAACCACAACCAACCTAACACAAACGCCACAGTCATCTGGATTCCAGTTCATCAAGGAATAGAAGGAAATGAAAAAGCCGACACAGCAGCGAAAGAAGTCACAGTTTCCTGTTTCCAGTTTCTCACTTACTAACAATCGCAACCAATCCCCTGCGACGACCAAATAATCCAAAAAAGTAGCAAAAAATGAATGGAACAATACATGGAAAACAACTAAAAGCATCCAACTACACAAAAGTATCCGAGACTTTCACTAGCAAACACCAAACTTCAACAACAGGAAAGAAAGAATAATTACCACACGCCTAAGAACCGATCATACCAAGCTGATATATGAACACAAAATTAAAACAACTACACCACCTACCTGCACTCATTGCAATAACCATCCACTGACAATAATCCACATACTGCACGAATGCCACACCACAGAAATCCAAAGCCAGAAATATGAAATCAACGCAAACATAAACCTGACTTCTCAAAATGGCATACAAAGAATATAAAAATATTTCAAAAACATAAACTACTACACACATATCTAATGGCACCGTCGTCGCTAATGTGACATTAAAGAAAAATAGAACAAGAAGAAGAAGAATATATATGTTGTAATTCTATATATAAAAATGAACGAAGAGAAACAATAAAATTTTTTCACTAAAGCCTTCGTTTTCGAAAAAATCGAGTTTGAAAATTTATTGTACTTGAATTTGACTAATTCCGTACTAAACAGTAACAAATAATCGACGCGAGGATATTCAATATACAAAAATAAGTAAAAGATGTAAAACAAAATTGGTGTACTTAATAAATTTTCAAATTTAATTTTTTCAGAAACTTGTCTTACGAAAAAATTAATTTAATTCAAGAATGTTTAAAAAAATATTTAAAATCGATTGTCTCGAAAACGAGATCTTAAAAATAATTTCGTTATTTCTTTTCGACATTTTTTAGTTGATTGTTGCAGATCGTTGTATTTTCATATAATGTATGTTTTATAATGATACTTAAATGAAGGTCAAACTTAAAATTCATTCTCTGTAAAATTAGGTTACACATATTGAATTAATAAACAAGATAATTAAATATTAATTTCCGCTTGTCCTGTGCAAATTTTTAGATTGATTTTCCACAAGAAAAAACATACGACCTTTTATTCTTGTTTCTTGGTTTGCGTTTCCATTCCATTTTTTATCATGCCATTCGAGAAATTACTTCTTTTACATGTTCCCTCTTTCCACTTCCGTCGATCTTTTCTTTCATAGTTTATACACGTGTGCTTTCTGTCTACCTTCTTCATTCAGATTCTCTTGTTCTTGGCCAGAGTCCTTTGGGAAACGAGAATGCGAAAGAGAAACGTATGAGAGCATTCTCCAACCAACCACTCTGTGAAAGTAATCTCACAATTATTGAACTCGTTGATTTGCATAAGAATTTCAGAAGCAGCGCTTCTTCTTCTTTCTTTAATTCAATTTTTTTTCAATTACACTGACTCTCTCTCTCTCTCTCTCTTTTTCTCTCTGTCCTTTTTTAATTTCATTCTATCTCTTCCGTTGATAATTCAATGAATCGAATGATTGTTTACTGTAATTAAAACAAACGACGTTCTTCATTGTACTTTCAATGAATTTCATGTTGAAACGAATACAAGAGTCGAGGATCATCAAGTTTTGAGAAGACTATAAAAGTTGTAAAAGTTCCAGCATGACTCTTCTTGATTGTACAATGGTTGATTGTACAAAGCGTTCTAATGAAAATTAAATGACTTTGAAACTTAAGAATTATTATAACTCGCTTTCAGAAGTTTCATAAGTTGGAACATTGGTTACTACGCATAAACATACGTATTTCTTTTCTGAATTATGGGAAATTTGTCTCTCAAACACGTTAACAAGTCTTTTTACAATGGTAAAAGATTGTATCAATAGACAGTTGATTGAATGTAGTATAATTTGCCATATTTGTCAATTTTTCCACGGTTGTTAATTTTTAAAGTGGCTGTTGTGGCAATTTATATCAACCTGGAAATTCGTGAAAATTATAATTATTATTTATAATTTTGTTACTTAGTTAATGAAAATAATTAGTAATGGCGTTAGGTATATTAAACATGGATTTGAATTGTACTGAATTTCATTTTGATATTACTGTTTTTCTTTTTCTTTTTTATTTCTTCTTTTGGAATTATAGTTTATTGAATATTTTTCATTTTCATTCTTAATGTTAAAATTTATCCAATATGGTGACATTGGAAAGAATAAGAAAGAAAGGACATTCCCACTTTTAATGTAGAAAAAATTAACTATTATTGGCTATTAGCTTCTACTTGAATAATTACACAGTTAAAAAAAGATACAAAACACTTTTTTTTCAAAATGATTTTCTTGTTATTCAAAACTCAAAGAAATTGTAATATTTCTGCATGAGAAATATTTATGACTATAAGCACGTGAATGAATATTATTACTGTTATTATTAATTAGTATTAATATTATTATTATCCTTTATTTTCAGTAATAATTTGTTTATATATGGAACTAAAAAATAAACTTTATTGATTATTCTGTATTTACGAAACTATAAATATGTACCTAAATGTAGGATATGAAAAAATAAAGAATAAATATACTGGGTAATTCGACCTACTCGAATATTTTCAAAATCGTTGACAATATAGAAAATATTAGACAAAAGTTAAATGGTTCCAAGTGGCATAATACTATATATAAATAATAAATAATATAATAGGTACAAACATATTTTATATGTCATATTATTATCTAAACAATTTATAAGATTTTACTGATAAAAAAATTAAAATATAAAATAGATAGTATGACACGTTGAGATATCATATAATACTTAATCTAAAACTAATAGTTAAAATAGTATAACTAAATAAATAATTGTTCTATAATAGCATAGTAGTTCTTTCATGTTGAATTAGATTTGAATTTTTATTTTATTCGACTACTTTACTAAATAAATTTTAATCCAATTTAATATTTTTAGCTTTTTCAAAACTTATATAAAATTATTTTAACGCACAAAATATTCGAAAAATCATGATACAAATAAAAATAAATATAAGAATGTAAAATAGAACTTGTTCGTTTAAAACTAAATTTTTGAAGAAAACGAGTTTAAAAAGTTATTTTCATTTTAAAGAAAATTAAGTTTGAATATGTCAAGAATTAGTTTATGCGTGCTTGACAAGTTTTCAAACTCGATTTTCTCAAAAGTTGAATGTCAAAATATAAGATCTCGTTTTAGATTTTCCATTTACTTTATACGTAATATATATTCTGCTGTATTATATTATTTAATTACAAAAACATTACATTGTATTATAGTATTTAAATATATATTACCATAAAAAAATTTGGCATATTTTGTCAATCTTGAATAAAACTCGGCAAATATGATCATATTATTACCTAGAGAATGGTAAAATAGATGTGTTAGAGAATGGTAAAATAGATGTGTTAGAGAATGGTTAAATAGATGAAGAGAATGGTAAAATAGATGTAGAGAATGGTAAAATAAAAATGTGTATAAATTTGATACATTTTTCTTATAAAATGTATATAAAATGTATAAAATCGTAATATAAAATTGAATATCTATATCTGAGAGATTATATTAATAAAACATTTTGCAAATTTAATTCACATATTGAATGATAAATACGTACCAGTCATTACATAATAAGCATTCGAAAGTGGCCGTAGAATATCATTGATGAGTATCACGACAATCTTAACACCGATCACGAAACCGATATTACTTTTTAAATAATATCAAGAAAAATTAAAATTAAAAATTTAAAACTGATAAACTAATATAAGATTAATAAATAGAAGATAAAATAAATTTTACGCACTAAAGAATTGTAACAACACAAAAGATTTGTTAAGTTGGTACATTACGAATGTCGACGAACGAAGCAACCAAGGTTGGTAATGTATGTATGTGTGTCGAGTGAATGTGGCGTATTGCGAGTTAGGAAAAAAGAGTGTAGTATAGAGTGTGTGTCCAAAGTATGAGGAAATGCTGTGCTCAGTGAAACAAAGTAATTTCTTAAATTGATGCTTCTTTAAATTATTTTTCCAACAACAAGATTAAATGTGTGTTACAGTATAATATATTTCAAATTATAGTCATTCCTAAAGAAAATATGTATGTATTATATATAAAACTCCTAAACGTGTTATAGTAGTATCGCGAAATCGGCCGCAAATTTTTCGCAAACATAGTTTGTCATTTGTTTCCTCACTATGATAAATACTTGCAAATACTCAGGAGATATATTTATATTACCAATAAAGAGTATTTTTTTTATTTACGTGTGTTACTTTCGCGGGGGCTGTAATGTATTTATTGACTAACCTACGTGCAAGATTAAAATATTAAATCACTTAATAAAAAATTAAAAGTCAAATTAAAAAGACTGAAGAGATTAAAAAATGGAAAACAGATGCAGCACGAATGAAATCTTCGACATCTTCGCAATTGCAACAAGTCCTTGATGCTGAGTTCGATCAATGTTTCGCGTTGCATAAGTATTTCAATTAAAAGAAGAGAGAGACGAAAGGAGAAGGAATACGCAGAAGCTATCTGTTCGTTTAGTGCGTTTCCTGATTAATTCAATTATTTAATTGGACGACGAAGATTTTCGAGTCGGGAAGCCTCGTGAATTATTCACTAACTCGTCCACGACGGTAATATCAAAATTGTGCAAGACTATGAATAATTGGAGGGCTGCGGTGAACTCTCCGTCTAAAACAATAATTTCCTTCAGTTATTCGCTACGTTGCTTCTTATTTTTGTTTCTTCCGTTCAACTTCGTGAATGAGAATTAAGAAATAACTATCGTTCCTTTCAAGTGTTACTCTACTCACGTAATGATTATTTGCATATTGCATGATCTTTTAATCAAAAACCATTTCTAATTACTCTCAGATTTATTTCGTAATCACTTATTGCGTTTCTTTTTGCTATTTTATTTAAATTGCAAAGCATCGAATTTTACAAGGATGAAAGATTATATTTTACTTTAAAGAAACTCCTTTTCTTTAAAGAACTTAAATAAAAATTTAGAATGGTTTTGTAATTTTCGCTAAAACCTTTATTAAATGAGAGATTCCTCGGTAATTCGAAAATTCCGACATTTTTTTAAATTTCGCAAGTTTGTAGGAGACTAAAAGAAGTATCGGGCATTTTTTTTCGATCCTTCAAAGTCAGAAAAATCAGTTAATAAAAATTTATAAAAATAAAAAATTATTCAATTTTCGTGTTAAAACATTCTAATAAAAGGAAAACAAAATAATTCTTATTTTTACTCAAGGGATATTTTCATCTTAAAGAACTAAAAATTTACAAAATTTTAAGATCGGAATTTTTAAATTACCGAAGAAATGTAAATCTTTATTTATGCTTTCAACATCAAGATATTGACCTTCAACTGTCAATATATCAAGATTAATTATTTCTTTGAATGCTTCAAATTACCAGAAATCTGAAAACTTAATAATTGAATGAGAGCATTAAGAATGCTTCAATTCAATCCATTTGTCTTAAACATGATTATCATTTATTTCAAATTATTTTTTACAGTGACTCATATTAATTCAGACTGATTTATAAATTGTTCTGCTTAATTATATAGATTAATTATATAAATATAATAAATATAGTGGTATATAGTATTTAGATATAGTATGGATGTATACATATTTAGATATAGCTGTATAAATATATAGATATATAGATATTTTTGTTATATAAACTATATAGATATATAGCATAGCTACATAATCTATAAATTTTGTATAAATTTAGACAAAAATACATAATTTCTCGCACAATATCAATCAATGTAATCAATCCAAATTCAAATTAATTTATCCAAAAGTGGATTTGATTTGCTTAGATTTTTTATGGAATGGGGGTGCTAATCATTTGCAGTGTGCTGGTTTATTACAGCACACAAAGTCGAATGAAGGCCGCGATTTTATGTATGAAAATAGATTATACTGTTTGGTACTGGCGCTGATTATCAAGGGAATATTCCTTCGACTTAAATTCAGGAGTACAGAGAAGACATATGGCAGGAGTCGATCTGCTTCAATTGGAGGTCAGACGATTTTTCAACTAGCCGATGGAAAATTGAGGAAAACTTTCTCGTTTCTTTTTTCATCGGTTTTGAATTCTCAGATAGGAGCAAATCATTGACACTATTTGTCAACTCCGCGCAGAGCATGTTTTGTTTAAATATTTCATTTAAATGTCTTCCCCTGAGAAGATAGCATATGGCCTATAGCATGTTGTACGCTTTTGAACTTTGGATGGACATAACTTTCGAGTAATCTGACTCTCTAGTTTTAATGAGCCAACAAGGCCTTAGTCCTCTTGCTAGGTTTTTTCTTCAAAAATAGCGTGAGATCTCGACCCTGGCCTGCTATAAATCAAGGCACTATTCGAAGTTCCCATACTATTAGTACAGGATACTATTCGAAGTTCAAGTTTTTGTTTCATAACATGTATATGTTCATAATATTATATATTATATATATTATACATAACATTGTGCGGAAAATTATGTATTTTTGTATAAACTTTGCTCAGAACAATTGCTATATTTTGCAAATATTTTTCATCAATAAGTTTTTAATTAAAAAAATGAGCGACACGACTACTCTTCTTGAGGGTTACACAAAAGAATATCCTTGACGAAGAACGACTGAAAATGAAAATGTAAAAATCAAAATCATTGGAACTGCCACTCCTAACGTAAGTTTTAAACTTTTCTACTATATTATATATGTGTGTTATATTACACATGCATAGTATGTAAACTTCCAAAATAAAAATTTCATAAAATTGATTGTTATTTGCTTTAGTTCAAGAGTGGAATGATTTATTACTTCAGGCTTTTATAGGATCTACCGATTGATTATATCCATATAATGATATTTAGTGAGTTAAAAATTATTTTTCAAAGTTGATGTTTTGTTTTTCAAGTATGTAATTATCTCTAGTCTATAAGAATGCCTAGTTTTGCAATGTATGGTACAGTATATATGTATAATACACTGTTGCCTGTAATGTTTCCACATGTTTGTCGTACAGTATCGATCATTCAACTGTTATTCAATGCCAATCAACGAACTGTCAACTGGTAGAGATAAAATTTTTTTATTTGTAAGTTTATAGTATTGACAACTGAAATTGAATTACCTGTTCATTCTATCTTCTTTCATAGAAATGTTATCTCAAATTATGAAACAAAAAGATCAAACGTACCAATTGAAAAATAATTATCATTTTATTTGTAAAAGAAAATAATTATTATTTTATTTGTAAAAGTAAAAATAAAAATTGAATAAAAATCTCCCGTCTTCAGTTAAATATTTTTTTAATTAATATTTCTAATCATTTAAATTTATTAATTTAATATTTGATCAGTACTTTGTGATAATTTTTCCTTTTTTTTACAAATCAGAATTTTTTTACTTTTACGAATTAATAATTTTTACATTTCGCAACAACAAAAATATAGTTCAAATCTTCATTTAAATTACAAACTTATTTTTTCAAATTTTGATGTTTACGACTCTAACTCAAAACATCATTAAACATCATTAAAAAACTCGAAGTATTCAATGCTATATGACTCTCTCCTAAATATTATACGTGTTATGATTCAATCTTACTATGACGAATTTCATTGGTACTTAAGTAATTTATAAAATTACTTTTGTTGCCTGACTGGGTGAGAACGTCGTCGATACATATTTATTCAAAACATTCTAGGACTGCATTTTTGCACACAACAATTAGCTTTGAAACACGCTACAAGACTAACCTCACGATTATTAATTCGCATATAACAAAAATCTGTGACAACGTAAAATGAAAAGAGGCAAACCTTTATCTCGATTAGAATTTTGGACTCAGCTAAGGTAAATCGTTGTTGGTTTTAGCATAGTGACTCGATTCTAATTATCAATGAGCGAGTCGTTCGGTTTGATTATCCATAACCGACTTTTACATAATAGAAAGCAATAAGTTTTAAATCGAAACGTGGTAACGAAATAAAAAACTTTGGTATATTTATTAATATTCTATTTAAAAAAATCATTCGATCAGCTGATATTGGAATCTCTTTCTTTCCTCTGGTCCTCGGTGACTTCTATATTTCCAACTGACTCGGCACGTTTTTCCTGGAACGTCAGGTGAAAATCGTCCGGAAATTGAGCACGATAGGCAGTGAAATCCACCTGTTTGCAGTCGGTGAAGATCAAATATTGCATCTCCTCCTCGGTTGGTTTCGGCGCGGGTGCTATCGATTTCAATTTTTGGCGTTTTGGAATCGATCGCCACATTAAAGGCCGTCTTTTTATCGGAGGTGGTTCCATAGCGCGTTGCAAAGATACCAGCAATTGAATCATAAGCTCGAACTGTAACGAACAAAGTAACACTGATATCGTTTCACGCGTCCAAGACTATTGAAGTATATTGGAATGATCATAAGTAGACATTTGTGTAAATTTTGCAAGTATAAGAAAAGAAATGGGATTTAATGTAACGTGACGATTTTCGTCAATGAGATACTATAATAAGTAGACTACGAATTTTTACGCTTTTATGGAAAATTTGAAGATGCAAATATGCGCACAATGCACATAATATGCAAAAATGAAATATTTAAAGAAGAATATTAATTATAATTCTATGTGAAAGAAACAATTTTCTATCTTTAATTATGCTCATGAAAATTTAAAGATGCATAACAATCCGCAGTCTGATAATGAACTGTATCGGATAGAGAGCAAAAATAAGTCGGAAAGAAAGAATAACATTTTTGTATTTAAGACTTCGTTTTGGAGATGATTAAGTTTGAAAATTTGTCTTAAATTTGGCTAATTCTGGATTAGATATAACATAATTATTCTATATATGAAAATAAGTAGTAAAAAATGTAGAACGAAAGTTTTTGTTCATGTTTAATTAAAAATTAGCTACAATACAATACATGTGTACTTGATAAATTTTCAGACTCAATTTTCTCGGAAATCCCGCACGAAGAAATTTGATTCTAAATTTTTTATTCTCGCGTGTTTCTGTTGGTTATTTATTGCTGTCCAATGCGGAATAAACTAATTTACATTTAAATCAAATGCACTTCAAAAATATTTAAATTTTATGTAGAGTAAAAAATGAAAGAATAAAAATTTTATGTAGAAAAAAATTAGCCTTCATTTTCAATTTATACTTTGAACGTTTTGTATAGTTTTACGTGTTATGCTTATCCTACGTATTTCTGCATTTTTAAATTCTCCGTAAATGCATTTTTGAATTCTGATCCACGAATGTATAAATATGTACAATCTAATCATAAAATATTCATAATTTATGTAATTTTGAATTTAACCTTTTTGGCAGCTTCCTCCGTCTCTTTCATAGCCCTCAGCTCCTGCTTGAAGCCTTCCTTCTCGTAAGCTTGAATCATTTCTGGTGGTAAAATGTCCAGCTGCAAATTTAACTCCTCGTAGATCTTCTCTATCCATTTCATCATAAAGAAACTGTCTAGATTCGCATCGTTCGGTCCCACACAGCTTTCGTACGCATCTTCGACGAACACTTGAAGACGAAGCACTTCCTCCGAACAAACGGAATCACGGAATACCGTTTCCAGAAGCTCGTTTGCATAGCTTTCCAATTCTGCAGCTCTGGTTTCTAATTTGCGAATGGTATCCTGAATTTACCACCGTAAGTATATTTCATAATTCTTAAAATTGATAAATATTAATATTCTTTATTCTACCGTCGTAAGTATATCTTCTGATTCTTAAAATCGATAAATTTTAGTCATTTTTGTTGGACATTTTCTTTCTTTTCTTTTTACTCGCTCTTAACCCATTAAAAGCAAACGTTTCGAAATGAGAGTTGCGCGTAAGAAATATGTATCATTTGTTAGAACTATCATTACGGAAGTTTTATAAATAATTGTACAATTTTATTATTTTAACACTATAACAATTGAACAATATATGATTTCAGACTTTCATTTTTTTATCAGCTATACGATATAATAAAAAATATATATATATATATATAGTTATATGGAAAAAAAAATATCGATAACCTGAAAATGAAAAAATATCAAAATCCTTGAAAAATATATAGTTCTTACCAGTTATTAGTCTTTTGGATTTAGTAGCCATTCATATTAGGAAAAAAATATTTTTTATATCATCACAATTCGAAAACTCGCTTAAATAGACCACTGTATGAAATTTAATATTAGAAAAATAGTTGTTTTATTATCCGAAAATTCTATTAACATTTTTATCTTCCCATTAGTTCCAGTATGAAAGGCTCCACTGTATTATCTAGTTATTTATATCATTTAGAATTGTTTTATCGATGATATTCATTTTATTATAATTATTTAAAATTTATTTACAAGGATAGAAATATCGGCCATGGCAATTAACGTGTATTTTTTATATTTTTCACTATTACTTCAATCTACATAAATTTTAACTCTTACTCTTAACAAGTTAATTAATTAAAATAATTAATTAAATTATTACTTGTAATTCGTTGATTGTGTTGGTTATTTCCGTAACTTCAGCCATGATTTGTCCTTCAGCAGTATCAATCATCATCACCAGATCAGTTAATGGTTCTGCCAGAGTCTCTAAATGGATCAATGCGTTCAAATTTTGCGTTTCAATTGCTCTGAACACGCGAATTAGCTCGAACGGATCCTTGAAATACAAATCTGTTGGACCTGCATCCGTAATGTCCTGCTCGAATAAATCTAGAAGTATAAAGCAATCATTTCTATCGAGAGACACGAATTTTCTAAAGTTAGATAAAAAAACTGTTATTACCAAGCCACGGATATTTATGCAAATTCATATTTTTATAAATATAAATAAATAACAACGTTGTTTTTCCAAATAAATTTTTTGCTATATATATTGTGTGTGTGTGTGTGTGTGTGTGCGTGTGTGTAATTATAAGCAACACGATAGTACATGAAATTTTTCTATATTTCTCACTTTTTTTGAAATGAAAGTTTAATTTTTTCATCTTTAATTTTTTGTTATGTTCTTCTTTATATTTTTAATCTTAGATTTCTTTATGTCATATAAAATATATGTCAAGACGTACAACGATGTACAACAATGACCTCGAATGTCATACAAGCTCAGTATTGTAAATTTTTCAAGTATTTGCAAGAACGTAATAAGAAAAATATTCTGTATCAAACTTAATTTCGTTACATTCTGAAAAAAAAATTACACAGTTCTATGTATAATCCAAAGTAACTTTCATTTTACTGTGAAAATAAATAAAAATAAATATTTTTACTCACAGTACTTGTCGTTACATATAGCACTTTTATAGATAAATTTTTTCGTATAACACTGTGTATATTTCTAACAAATTAGTTTTGCTGCTCCAGTTAATTGTCATTTTTCTAACTGAAAACTTTTCAAATGGAGCTGTTACAGTTTTTTTCATAAGCAATTCGTTAAATTTAATTAATTTCCATTAAACAAGAAATTATCTACACAGTATAAAAAATACTACTAATTTTTTCTATATCCATATACAATAACTTTCATGACATTATTTTGATAAAATCATATGAAGATATTTTGATTATTCGTTATGGTCATTGAAGTTTTAATATTAATACCATAAATCTTTTTCAAATTAAATATATTATACATGATTTATACAGTACATTCTTTTTTTGATGTGATAATGCATAATAAAAAAAATTTAATAAATATCATCTATTAAATTATTATAATTATTTCATAAAACTGTAGCGAAGTGATATTCCATATGCACCAATCGCAAAATGTTAAATATCATATCATTTACTAGATTTTTTACTAAATACATATTATAATTAATACTTAGAAAGTTAAAAATTATTTTCGAATATTTTTTCATATCCTGTTTCTTATTTATGTATCGTATTTTTACAGCTAAAAATTTAACTGCATAAACATCTATAATCTAGCTAGAATTAAGATTATTTCAAATCTTCTTTTATATTAATGAATTAAAATAAATCTTGAAAGAATAAACTATTCATGTAAAATAATTAATAAAAGTTCTATGCAAAACATTAATCCTTGCTTAGCCAACGGTAGATTTCTTTGATTCAACATAAACATAATAGTATAATACAATTATAAAATATTTATATTTTTCAATTATTTTTAAATGAGATTTAATATTTAAAAAGTAATTTCATAATATACAGCTAAGATGAAAATTTAATATGGAACTGTATAAATAGCTATTTATGATTGACTATTTGTAAATTAATAATATTGTACAGAGTGTCTTAGTATTAAAGATATAGCAAAGGAGGAAACGATATTGCATGAAAATATAAGTCGAAAATAAAAAATAAATTTTTAGTAATATTTAAGACTTTGTTTTCAAGAACATCAAGTTCAAAAATTTATTAATTGTACTTGAATCTAGCTAATTCTGAACTAGTCATGAATAAGTAATGAATAGAAAATTAATTTGTGAAAATAAATCAAAATTGTAGAATACAATTTTTTTACAAGACATTTCGTTTTTGAGAAAACTCAATTTTAAAACCTTATGAAACACGTTCATTAAATTAATTTTTCGCTAAACATATATTCAAACTCTATTTTCTTGAAAGTGAGACCTTGAACGAAAAAAATCATTTTTTATATTTTTTCATTCATTTTCGCAAAAAATAACCTCTTATCGATCAATTTTGTTCAGTCCAGAACTAGTAAAATTCAAACGTATCTGATACATTTTCAAACTTTGATTTTTCGAAAATGACTTGAGTAAAAAAATTTTATTCTTTTCTTTTCTTTTATATATTTTTTCATGTCAAAAATCACTCCCCTCTCAGTTGTGCCTTCAACAGTGGGACACTCCGTACATTTCCTAATACAAATTGTTTATTTCTCTACAGATCTCTACTATCTTTTGATCAGAAAAAGAAATAAAGATGTAAAATCACCTATGAGAACGTCCAATGAAGCAACTTCCTCGACCATTCTATATCGACCGAATAAATCATCAGCATGGTGAAGAATGCTTTCTCCGGAATCAGTCCGATGAATCCAGTCGTAATCCGCGCGCCAAGCAATCGGCGACACCTGATAGAGGAACCTTTGGCACATCTTCACCATCCTCCAGCTCTCCTCCCAGTGATATACTTCCAATCTGACCTTACCATACTCTGTGGAAAGGTAGTTCCTCCTGTCTGTGATGTCTCTAGTTTTTTTTATCTCGTCCTCGGCCAATTGTAGAATGGTCATGCTTTCCTCATGGTCCTTCGAAAGGAACTCTTCGAAACCATTCACGTACTGACGATATCGTCGCTGATATAATTGAAAGATGTAAAATTGAAATATTTGCGACATTTTCATATTTCTCTGTTTCGTCTTGGTTTTCCTTAAGAAGTTAAGCTACGTTGAACGAAGTTCGTTCAACGAACAGAGTGTGACCAAAAATTATACATAAGGCTGTGAATCTTCTGTAATTCCGCACCTCTAGATTGGTGGAGATTTACAAAATCATACAAAATTTATCTTGACTATGATTTTCACGGTCAAATTTTTTTATTAAATACTCAATACTTTCAAGGTTAATACTTACATATTTAACACTTACATAGTCATACTTTCAAGGTCAAATTTTTTTATTAAACGCTCAATACTTTAAAGGTCAATATTTACATACTTAACACTTACATAGTCATACTTTCAAGGTCCAAATTTTTTTTTAAATTTTTTATTACTTGTATTCTGCTCATTATGAAGAGGAAAAGTCTCGAAATGTCCAAATGAATATATTGCATCCAATAAACAATTAATAATCAATTACATCATTAGTACAGAATTTTCGATGAAATATAGAAATGTCAATTGTTTAAATAACAAAAAAGAAAGAAAGAAAAACATGGGATATGTTATATAATGGAGAATCTAGAGATATTTAAGTACGACAATAAATACCATTTTTCCTGCATTTTACAATAAATGTGGGTATTTTACAAATAAATTAAGATCGAAAATTAAAATTAAATTAAAATTTCAACATCTTTTTCCAAGAGAACGGTTGAGTTAAAAATCTATGATTTTTTTTAGAGTATTTATTTTCATAATAAGTGAAATATAATACAACAAAAAAAAAATCGGTTTTGAAAATCCTGTTCAAGGTTAATTTCGCTTGTTTTTACAAATCTCCGGAGACACAGAATCATCACGCTATGATGATCTTTATAAATAATTTTTATAAATAATTTTATAAGCAGACAAGGTAATTTCTTATGAAAAAATAAAAAAGAAAAAGATGAAAAATAAAATTTTTTCTTTGGTGGCTTAGTTTTTGAGAAAATCGACTTTGGAAAACAGTGAATAATAGACGAGATAAAATTTTCTCATTAAATGCAAGCATTTTTGAGAAAACTAAATTCGAAAATTTACGAAAAATACACGTGTACCAAGTCAATTCTTGATTTAAAATTTCAAAATTTATTATTTTTCTTGAAAATAAAACTTTAAATGGAAAAATATTATTCCATATTTTTCATATTGTTTGTATTTTTCATTATGTTTATTATGCACAAAATAATGTCCAATCTAAAATTAGCCAGTAATTATACTTGATAAATTTTCTTAAACTTTTAACGAAAAGATTTTTTTCTACATTTTTTCGTATTTTGTTATAAGGAATCATTTTGTATCTGCTTGTAAACTTTCGGTAGCACTATATAAAGAATATGGCATATTTTTGTGTTTCTAATCATGCGTGAACAAAAATAGATGATATTCTGTTATATTACTTGTAATCTCTGTAGGACAAAATTATGCGAGATCTTATAAAACAGTAAATGTTCGCTATGATTTTCTTTTATTTGTTTCTTTTTAAATAGTTTTATTCATCAATGAAATGAAAAAAAAAAAAAATATATATATATATATATATATATATATATATAGAGAGAGAGAGAGAGAAAGTGAGTCTTATAATATGATAACTTGAAATAACTCGTAAGTTATTTACGTTCAAAAAAATATCTAGCTCAAAAGAAACAAAATAACAAAACAATTACATATTATATGTTGCAATCTTTGTTTGAAACATTTTTTCGTACTGAATTTTTTCGAAAACGAAGCCTCGGATGAAAAAATTGTATACCATATTTTTTCCTTATTTTTTTTTACGTAGAATTACCCCCTGTCCGGTTGTATTACAATTTTTCACCCATCCTGTATATACTACATATAATAATATATAACAAAGATTATCTTGAAATCTCGAAAGCATGACCATTTAAATAAGATTTGTGGCTACCGTAAAAGACCCCACACACGTTGAAACATGCAGCGATGCATGCATCGACTTCTAGGTTTCATGATGCATGTTACAATGTATGTAGCTCGGCCAGAGTTTGGGCATATTTTATTCGAACAACGAATAACGAATAAATCTATCAAATTTATTCGTAAATAACGAATAACGATTTTAGTCGAGGAAAAATTATTCGAATATGACTTTATTCATTATACGGACTTCAATGAGTAAATGTAGCCGTATACCGAATTGATTATTTCGAGGTTTTACACGAAACGGCTTCACGGCCTCTTCTCTGCAGCCACAGTTGGTCATTATTCGAAGAATTTATTCGAAATGTTATTCGACTAATGCTCAATTCTGGCACCGGTGAATCGGCATTAGAAGCAACTGTTAGCGATGCAAGAATGAGACTCCTAGCATTAGTTGAACAAAGAATATCCGTTTCGGATTTCGCTATCCTGGTCGCTACAACTGTCGTAACACACAACGGGTCGAATCGAGAATTTTTGCGACATTTTTAAATAATTCTTGACTCGTGAAAGATATCGCAATAAAATTTGTCATAAATATTTATAAAAGATATATCAATGATATATAATATAATACGATATATATTTCATTTCATTCAGTTTGTTTAATTGCTATTTATATATATAAGATATATAAGACTAGATAAGAAGAGAGAATAGATATATAAGATTATATATATATATATATATACACATAAGAAAAAATGAACTGGATACTTTTTCTTAATATGTATTAAATTTTTCGTTTTAGAAAATACAACATACTACGGAAAATACAGAAAATACAGAACAAGTTTTAGAAAACTCAATTACAGATAATAATGCATAACAAAAAAGAGAAGAGAATTATAAATTTGACAATTTCTATAATCACAAGGTTTATTTGTCTTATTTAACTCTTTTAATAACACGGATTTGGAAAATCTATTTTTAGGTCTTTAACTATCTTTTTGTCTATTTCTTTTTAGTATTTAGTTTCTTATTTTTTGTAAGTAATAATAAACCTTCTATTACCAACAGTAATATTGGAGCTGAAAGACGATCCGATATTTTAAAACACGTTGGCATCAAAAAACTGAAGAATCGGTAGTTTGGAGGCAGACTAACTCTGTAATGCAAGTTTCATGAAATCGATGCATGCATCGCCACATGTTTCAACGTGTGTGCAGGCCTTAAGATATTCTCTTGAAACAACATAAATTTTATTTGAAACATTTTTCTCTATAGTGAATAATTTAAGAGAAAGTTATATAGTTAACCCCTGAGATATCCTGTATATAACTCTTTTATCGCTATAATTTAAAACTTTATATACCAATTATGAAAATAAGAATGTAAATGATTGAAAAAAACATGTTCAGTTTCATATTTAGAATATTTAAAAGTATAAATAAAAAAGATTTGTATTGTTCTACAAAATTGAAAAAAATGAATGAAAAATATAATATACCAACTATTTCAATATGATGGAGATTATTTGTATAATATGTATAATAAAACTAAGTAATATAATTATAAAACAGGATGTCCTAATAACTTTCTTCGCCTTAAATATCTCTGTTGTTTTTTAGTATGGAAAAATTTGATTAACGCAAATTATTCAGTAGGAAATTTCAAAGTTACTTTTTTAAATAGATTCTCTATAAAAAATATTAATCTGCATAATCTGTGTCAAGTTTAGTAGATATTTTATTTTTCATTTTATGAGAGTGAATGAATTTCAGAATACTACTCCTCGTCTTTCATATACAATACATTTTACAAAATTAAAATTAAAACATTTATTAAACTAACAATTTTTTTATATATATAGATAACATTTTTTTATAGAGAATATCAAGCTGCATCGATTAATAGTCAAGATCAAAAAATATATGATTCTGTTTAAAGAAATAAAAGTGACCTTGAAATCTCCAGTCCCTCCCTCTACAAAAGAAATCATTACTGCTATGTTAGAGCCATCTTTGTATCGAATAAACAAAGCTTTTTATATTTCTAAAAACAACAGAGGTGTTTAAGGTGAATGTTATTTTCTTATTTAATAACAAATTGAAAATTTTAGATTCATCAAAACAAACCCTGATCTGATCGAGTCGTTTTTGCTCCTCAACAAATTGTTGATCTATACGAATACAGTCGTCCATTTCTTGTCCAGCTAATAAGCGAGCCTTTAAAATCTCACGAGTGTCTTCTATATAATTGCGTATGGAAAATTTTTCTCTGACCAGTCTGTCGTCTAATTCCGAGAAATATTGTGGATCTATGTCAGTAATGGCTATAGCTTCCTCCAAATCTTTGTGCTTCTTCGCCTCTAAAGCCTCGATGTCCACGTCCACCTTGCAACATAATCAAAGTCGAATAATCAAAGTTTAATCAATGTTGCGAATGAAGAATATCTTTTTCCAAAATTCTTTCAAAAGAATAATTGGGAAAGACACCACCGTAATGGAATTAGATAATAGTTAAGTTTTCTACTCATGTAGAAATTATCACGAAGATATCATTTTTTGAAAACGTTAAAAAACCGTAAGATGTTATTTTTTATACGTTCAAATTGACACATGTGTTGTACGATAAACTTACAGTCTATCACACTGCAGTAATTTTTGAATTTTCATAATATTAAAAATATGCCAAAATTCAAAAATATTTTATAGTATCTCTATATACTATATTGTATATATATATTGTAATAAACTCTATATATATTTATATATATTGTAACAAATTCGAGAAAATATAATCCTAATAAGAATATAAGGAGTAACGAATTTTCGAGAATTCAAATAATATTTTAATTTTAAACTTTCTTGAATTGAATTGTGAGCTGTGATTGTCTAATTATTGAATCACTTTTCAAATTCTATTACATGCCATAAAATTATGAAATATAAAAATACAGAATAAATACAAATAATGTGTAAATAAACGATGTAATATTTTCTGTCAAGTTATCATGCAGAAAAAATAATTCTTTTATATTTTTTAGTAATAATTATTATTCTTTCTACTGCAACTGTTTTCGTAAATCGTTCAAGAATACTGCATGCATTAGAGTTATTCAACAAAATTAGTCCCAAAATTTCAGGAATCCTGGCATTGTTGTTATAAGATATTTTCGTGAACTCGACTCGATTCGAAAAATTGCTACGATTAATGAGTGCTTGCACTGAAAAGTTGAAAAATATGATTTTTGTATGTAAATTATGTTTAAATGATTTAAATTATCATTTTAATACAAAATATGTAAATGTTGATTTTATAATGACAAAATTTATATTTTAAGATCATTTTTCTATTACCAACGTCAATTTTCATTTAAATTATAAAAATTATATCTAAATACTAAATTAGCTATAAAACTTCAATCTGGACAAATTCGGAATTAAATTTTGTTGAATTATAATCAAAAATCTCTACGAAATATAATAAAACCAAAAAAAAATCAGAATTCACATAGAAATATAATAAAATCGTTAATGAATTTATATAATCGTAAAAGAATTACTAAACTTGATTATCTATAAATATTGATAACAATATAGATAAGTATGATAAAGAAATAAAAACAGAAATGTAATGCATACTTACCTAAAAAATATTCAAGAACTTACACGATTTTTTAAAAAAATATACAAATTATTAATAAATGAACGATTATTTTATCATGGTGTAAAGGATAATACATTTTATAAAATCTCTCGACTTCCGGTTAAGTTTAATAATTCGTGAATATATGAATGAACAAGAAAAGTTTAGTATCTTATTCCTCAGACATTCGACAACTTTGAATGACAAAAACTTTTTGGCTTATATGAAATATTTGAAATTGACATTTCTTCAAAAGAGAAAAAAAAATATATATATATATAAAATAAATTTTATATAAAATATATAAAAAATATTTATCAAAGTCACTGTAATCAGAGAGTAGTATCTTTTCATAAACATTTACTAAAATATAAAATGAAGGAGGTATCATAAGGAATGTAAAGTATAAAATGAAAGTATCTTCAAAATTTCAATCAAATCGGAAGTGATACATTTTTGGAAATTTAGCTGATATTTTTTGTGAATATTTCAAAAAAGTAACGTCAAGCAGTAGAAATATATATCAGTAAAGATCATAATTGATATGAATAATGAAAATAATGAAAAATTATCGATTTCGTAGAGAAAAACTATGTAACAATCCACTTGATCTAATTTTAAAGCATAAGTTTTCAACTAGATCCATGAAGGTTCTTAAAAATTTTTTTATTTAACTTTGAATATTAGAATAATTGAACATTAGCTGACGAAATGTTAGGATCTCTTGAATTTTTGTCTAATCGTAATAGCAACTCTCTGATTTCGTATCAGGTTCATTCGAGCAAACTAAATCCTTCCTACAACTATCACGTCAGATTTCACGTGTCTTCATTCTAAAAATTCCCTAATTTCGTGAGATTTGTCTTCGTTGCAAATATCAACAGACACAGATGACTCATTAGTCAGTAAAGTATCTCGTTTTTGTGACATATTTCCAAGCTCTAGCTCTTCTTGTACCTTACTCGCGTCTATCAAGGAACAGCGGATTCGAGAGAAATTATTATAAATGTCAACTTTTGCATATCGTTTGCTCTCGCCAGATCGAAGACATTGCTAGAATTCTATTCTATACTATAAAGAGTTTTGCTTTTGGGCCTTTCTATTGTCTGGATTATGGAAAATCTACATGAGACCCCATGTATTTGCTACGATAATCCTAACAGTTTCCTAACTTCGTCAGATTCATCCACTTACTAACATTTCAAACAGTATTCTATAAAATGTGTAATAATAAATAAATATTCACGATCTGACAACTTTAAAATTTTCAATTTTTCTGTTTAATTAGAACAGAGTTGGGCATATTTTATTCGAATAACGAATAACGAGGGAAAATTATTTGTTATTTACGAATAACGATTTTATTCGAACAAACAGTTGGGCGTTATTCGAATAAAATTTTATTCGAAGAATTTATTCGAAATTTTATAATGCCCAACTCTGAATAAGTCTCAATCAAAATGAATTCTGCTGCTCATAAGAATATTCATACACTTGCAAATATTAAATTAAAAAAAAAAAATTGTGAGTGAATATATTGTATAAAGAAATCGTCGTATTTGATAATTACAAAAATTCAAATAGCTTCGTAACTCACTGTATGTTTTAATATTAGAGTTGTGATACTTACACGAAGTCTCCGTAAAAGATCATGCGAATCTGTCGTTTTTAAGACACCCTTTCTTCGTTCTTTATCTGAAGTACGCTTTTTCGCCTTCCAGTATTGAAAATAAGAGAACATAAGCGAACAAGGAGGATAAACAAACGGAGATTGTTCCTGAAGGACATTTCTAGATTCTCCCAAATGTTCATGACCTTTGGTAAAATAATACTGTGATCTAGAAACATTCAAAGATCATAATGTAAAAGATTACATTAAACAATTGGATTTGAACCAACTATTTTTTATAATAATTAAACTACATTCATATATTTATGAAAAAGTAAAAATGTAAAAATGTAAGTGCACAAAATGCATCAAATTACAAATAAAGTGATATCAAAATAAAGAAATATTTCATATCTATAACATAATATTTCTATCTCAATGAAAGATAGAATTACATTTATCAAAAGCCCCGATATAATTTTATTAATTATAAAAATTATTCATATTAATATTCTACATCAAATTTGTCGTTCTCTTTAAATTTAAATTAAATTTTAAGAAAAAAATTAAAAACGAAAGTTTTTGTTTTCTTGATATTAATCGTTGTAACTAATAAAAAAAAATTATTTTTTATGAATCACTAATCAAATACAGTAAAACTCAAGAGCAGCTTTATTAAAAATAAATACGTTTATTTTTTAGCGGTAACATACAATAACGCGTATAAGAATAGATTAAATTATATATTTAATACGTTTTTTAAATCGTCCGCGTAAAACATTCTGTATAAAGAATTTAAATATGAAGTTCTTAACCTCTTGCGCTGGAATGACGTGCCACGCACGTCGAAGAATTTTTTTGTCCCAAATTGCAACATTTTCTCAGTTTTAAGTATATTTAAATGTAACCCAGGCAAAACAAACGATAAGTTGATTACTTCTTAATAATTTTTATCCAGTGATATCATACCGACGAGTTCAAAAGAAAAAGAATGCGGCGAATTATTGTATATAGTTCTGTCACTCGTTATGGTCCGCAATCAGTTGCCAGCGCAAGGAGTTAACCTCTTACGCTGGAATGACGTGCATCGCACGTCGAGAATATTTGGCCCAAAATTGCAAT